CGCTTACCCTCAAACTGAGGAGTTATCGCTAGAGAGCACAGCTAATGAAACTACTAGTCCTTCGGAAGTCGGAAAACGGAACACCAGACATTGACTGTGACGGTTTTCAAACGACTTCGCTCCGCCTTACTCTCTACCAATGCGTGAACGGCAACTCTTCCAGGCTTCAACCTCGGCTTCACTATCCAAGCGGCATAAATCGAGCCTTTGGTGGTGCACGCAAACAAACCTGCCGTAGATCCATCTGGAGAAATATCCGATTTCTGTGATCTGCACGAAGGTGCAGGAGTCCTGAAGGACTAAGCCTCAGGAACAATGTCATGAGCGTCAATCAAAGCACCTGATGCTTAGGCCTGTCAATTTAGTCCTTAAGGGACTTCCCTTTCGTAGTGGTGTCCATATAGTCTCCTGATCTCCTCCCCTCGACATTCCGTATTACTCTGAGTAAAATATCCCTTGAGATTCGCAGGTCTAAAAGCTTAGACTACCTAAAAATATACAAAAAGTCCCAGGTATATTGCCCCGGACTCGCGAATGTTGGATAGAGACCATGGTCCCTTATAAATATTCCACGACTTTCATATCCATCCTATGGCCGATGGGCGCATTTGGGAGGCCGTAAGATGGGGCGCTTTAATTAGAGCCGATGCCTTGGCATTGCACAAACAAAGTGACCAGGACACTTGAATTGCACGCGACATTAATTGAAGTCGTCCATCTAAACTGTTTTCGCCGTCGGCCGCCTCTCTTCGGCGAAGATGAAGTGGCAAACATGGAGACACCGCGAGGTACGCCGATTCGGCAAGGGCACTTTCAGGCTTTATTCGACTGATTCGATTCCATCAGCGGAGATGCTTTTGCTGGATGACGTTCGAGAATCAGTGCTATCTATGGCAAAATTCTCTTCGTTTCTAAAAGGGTTAAGCAGAAATTGGGGGGGGGGCTCAGTACAGTAAGAGCATTTCTTCGAGCCGTTGACTATTGAACAATTTACTAAGTATGCGTTTCAGCTTCATTGCTTTCGTCATGGCCTGAATGGGGCGGGCAAGCTGTAATGAGCTAGATTGACTCCTGGAATCATTCTGGGATTTCCACAAGGATAAAATGCTTGACGTTGGCTTTGTAGCACTCCTGAATTGCCCTGAGAGACTGTTCGTCATGCAAAGCTACCCGGCAAAGGATATCAGTAAGCGCTGCACCTCCAACATACCATCGGTAGCCTAATTCAAGAGCAACTTGCGAAAGTTGTAGGGTCCATGAAATGGAGCATGGGAGTCGATTAGGGTTTTTGCAAACCAGTCGTGTAAGCCAAAAAGCTATCCATCAGGTTACCCAATCACCCTCATAAAGCACTAGTTGGATCTTTCAGATGCTCCATACAAAAAGGAATGGAGTTATAATGAAGGAGAGAATGACTGAAATCAGAAGTTGATACGGTAGAGATTATACTTACTTGCAAATCCGACCGGGCACTCGCACACGAATGTCTTGAGCGCGTTTTCAGTGTCCTTGCCATAAAACTGTCGGTCTGGTAGACCTGGAATTAGCGCTGTGCTGCACCATGCTCTACCCTCCAAAGGGCTACAAGAATCTCTTACCTCGAATGCATTCACGTGTTTCAGCGTCTGACGACACTTCTGGTAGTACGGACAAGGTTCACGAGCACAGCTTTCATCTCGAATCACCTCAACCTTCATCAGAGACGTCCTTTCCAGGTGTCGTACTTCGGATCGGAGCAGATCCTCCACCTTCCATGACCCTGAAACAACAACTGAACTGCTCACTGTGTTGGGAGTTAGGTTCATACTAAAGACTCCACTCCACTTCCAGTTCGTGGATTATTCTCTAGAAGATGGATGAAGTCGCGCTAAGATACGAGCACTCTGCTCTCCTGGTCGAAAGTGCGCCAAGGACACAAGAACCTTCTCGAAACCAGTAAAGCCGCTTTCACTTTCTGCTCGTTCACAACATGGGTACGTCTGTGCCCTCTCATCTGCTGTGCTTTCTCGCCTATCCTCTCTTCTTTGTGCTCACTTTCTCCCTAGCATATCCGAATCACACAAATGAGTAAGCCCTCGATATGTACGATTGCGATGACTCTTCTTTTTGCAACTGCAAATTAAAACCCTTCCTCTTTTTAATTTTCGTGTGCAGGATTCACACCAACCTTGACCCTGTTAAGGGTATGTCCTACTCAAGGAGACGCGAATCACTAACATCCAGATCGTTACGCAGGTGGAAGTCTAACAGAAACTGACTTTAATGCTGGATAGTTTTCTGATATGAGTTTCCTGAAGAAATGAGCGCATTAAATATTCCATGGGATTTGAATCGTGGCTTGGATGCAACTCAGCTCCTCCCCGCAGTTATAATAACCCTATGGCCAAATCCGGGAACCTATGATTTTCCGAGCCCTTCGGATCCCTAGAATTCCTTAGCCACCCCACCAGATGGGCCCGCTCCAATTTGGGCGGTTTCCTTCCTCTGTAATATGCAACTGCCATGCGACACCTAACATATGGCGTGATGGCAGAAAAACGAAACTCATCCGTCGCCGAGCGGATATATAACTGCAAGAGGATTTATGGCTATCACCTAATTACCCTAAAGGTCCAGGAATGCCGCAGCTTATGGGCGAAAGTCGTAAAGCTGGCCTACAAATGTACGACTGTATTACGTTATGTGGAAAAATAAATAGTTATGAGACCGCATTGCAACAATATTTAGAACGTACACGGAGTTGCTGGAAGAAAAATAGTGTGTTTTGTTGTCGAATGTTTCTAATTACTTTTTACGGAGCTAAAATTGAAATATTCTATCAGTTTATCAGATAAATAATCAAATTAGACCAACGTACTGCTTGCCAAGAAGGAGCAGAAACTCACTTGAAGAAACCGCTAATAAAGATGGGTTCAATTTTATGTAGCCAAGGTCAGGTAGCTTTACTCAGCTACTTTAGGCGTGTTTGCCTACGTCAGAGTTGAGAAATTTGAAAGAAGTAAGGGAGCTCCACCTCCAACCGCTTCAAGCAAAGCGCTATCGCAAGATACGTGGGCATTGTTGCAATGAAACTGCGTAAAATCATCTCATTTTCTTCAAAAAGGACTACTCCTAGGCGAGGTAGGAGACTCCAGAGGAAGTGAATTTTCATTTTCCCCGAAGTTTCTGTACACTCCTAGACTTAACCATATCTAATAAATTACCTCATTTGTCTCAAATCGGGATATAACTTTGTGGTTCGCTATAGATCTCACAGCGTTCATCAAAAAAAATCAAGGTCCGCGAATTTCTTGAGAGCTATTCAGCATCTGCTTCGAATAAAACCATCTCATCTCCCCTGGTAGGCGAAATTTCGCGCTTTACTGCTTTAGGATCATATGGCGACGAGGTGACAGATGCTCGTTAGGGATCGCTGAGCGAAAAACCACTTGACGAACGTTATGAAAGAGGCGAATCAAAGGGGATGACGAACAGTTGCGATTTGTCGTCGCTTACAGATGCCGACCCACAGATTGGGTCTTCAACGGGAAATCCATTAATTTCGTGGATTGAAAAGATGAAAGCGCTTCCATTAAAGGCTGGTTTGAGGAGAGACAAGCTTTTTGAGATTTTGAAGCGATGTTCAGCAATATAGGAAATATCTTCGAACTAGCAGTCTGAACTTACTTGACAATTCTGCCTCGATCGCTGACCACTAGGCTGACTTCCACTCCCTCAGTGAGCCGATCGGCACCTACGACGAAAATGTTCTGCTCTTCCCAGGTATCGAGACTTGCCAAGGACTGCCTGTAACAATTATTATTACGACCTTGACTAGAACAGGGCGAAATTAATAGCATAAATGTAATGGAAAAGGCTAGAGGAGTAGATGGAAGACCAGCTGGCGAAAAGTTTTCTGCTGGTCTGCACCCTTTCACTGAGGCAGCAGCTAAGCCCAAACTTGAAATAGTTTTTCCAGGGGTATCTAACTTCCCATGTAGTAAGGGTGATCTTAAACTCTAATGGCAGTACTAACAACTATAATAATATGTGCAATAATTACAGTAAATGTAGATAGTAGGAGCAG